ACAAACACAAATTGTTCCAAACAAATAAGTATGTATGATTACAATTTTAGGGAACATGAATGCACATGAATGAATCGCTGATTGTTGCCTGTATCATTTGACATCATGTACACTTTGCATTATCAAAATTTTATAAACTATGGACTTGAAAATGACATGATTACAAAGTCCTTCTAAAGTCATTGGACCGATTGTTTCTTCCCAGGATAAAAATGTATTTATTTATTGATTGCAGTACCATATAAAGGTAATATGGATTTTGAAATGTAAACATGTGCGATGTATTGCAAGATAAGAGTCACAATTATCACTGAATGAAAATATTGAAAGCTGGAAAACATATTCTGCGAATCTCAACGCCTGGAAGTGTACTTTTGACTTTTTTTCATGTCAGCAGGCTCTAATTTCCTTTACCATCTGCGATTCCAACAGGGGATAAAATAACATGATGTAAAATCAAACTACTGCCATCGTATTTTGGAGCGTATCGGAGCGTATTTCACAAGTTGGGAAGGGAAGGTGATGGTGACAGCATGCAAACAAGTACTCCACTCAATCAATGACAGAGTTAGGCAGAAAAAGTTTAACAAGTGGGCAAGCAAGAGTGAAATGCAAGATTTCCTGAAGGACGTTGCATGATCACTGAAGTACATGTTCAAAAGCTCTCATGGGTTGGTTCGTTGAGCTCCAATTGTCATCAATCCATTAGAAAAATGTTGGCGAGACCAAACTTCAAGGGGTTACACATCGTGGAAAATAGATTCCTGGTTCACCGTTATCCTCTGAGGTTCTGTGGCTGTTTCAAACTTTCAATTATTAACTCTTCTATTGCCAGGAATGATGAGCATGAGTATGAGTATGATTCATGTGTTCACTCAATGTTGAATGGTACTTAAAAGATTGAATCTGTTTCATCTCGTTTATGAAAAGGGCTAAACTGATTATCAGCATGATAAATGTCTCAACGCTGTTTGAAGAAAAGCAAGAATAATGTTTAAAATATGATTTGCAAAAATCCATTACTCTCACAAAATTTGAATGCTATACATGGATGCCAACCAGTGATTTGGCAATGTTTTTTTTTTCTCAACAGGAAAGGCTGCAGGGATTAAGATCCTGTCTTGATTCAGATCAGAGTTCTATTGATGATGCAGATGAATTGATTTTGGTGTCCATAATGTTATTGAAACTGAAGCATTATTTCAGCAATGTTAATGTTCCTTCCACATTAAAAGCTCACAGGATCACATATCCATATCACATTCATGTCAAAGCTTCTTAAAATGGCTCATATGAATAACACAATAGTCAATACTGCTAATGCCATTTCGTCAGTCTGAAACATCAATTCGGTGAAGTTGCTATGGAATGAGAAGCTTACAGAGTTTAAACATCCACACATCCTTCTTGCCATAGCCTGTCAACAGAAAGATGAATATCGACTAGTATACCGATGCTATTGCAGTTATTCATACAGTAAGCCATGCACAGCTAAGATGCTTCCAGATGAAAGGGTCCTCACTTCTAACACTTCTTCATTTATACAGCAGCTTTTTCAACATCTAAGAAACAATGCTCCAGCTGTTTATTGAGATGAACATATCAATTCAACAGAGTATCATGGATTTTACAGGCGGCAAAAATGTCCAAAGCCTGTATCCATTTGTGAAAGAGTTCGCACATCTCGGAAACAGAGTTTGATGACTGTTCACTGTGGGATTTGCAAACAATGTCCACTTTAATCTACTTTCAGTGCAAAAATGATGCAGAAATTCAAAAAGTGAGCAGATATTTCCCTGTTTTGCTTGAAGAGGAGTGAAGAGGAGTGCCTCCTCTCACTTGAGTCAAAGCTGAATTCCAAATGGTTATCCAAAGCTACGCGTTGATGTACACATGTAACTTCTTTTTACGACACTTTGGCCTGCCCCCCCCCCCCCAATCTTTTATTCATGGTTAGAGTTACGTGCCTCCCTCTGATTCAAATGTATTAGGGAGGCGCATCTCGATAATCCAAATTTAGCCACGGATGGCATTCACTATTAATCGCCTTACTTCTCTTTTCTTTTGAAGCCTCGTTTGATAGAAATGAAAGGAACTATTTGAGGCTCTATGTTCACTGAGCTGTGAATCTATTGGAGGTTCTGAAAGGCAGTGATGCCAGACAAAGAGAATAATCCTACAAAATCTGAAAGTGGGGAAATTTTTTCAAAAGGGATCTTAGTAAGTATTTGCAAACAGTTATATGTAAATGAACAAATGAATGAAGGAGATGTTTATTGTGATTCCTGCCTCAGTTTATAGCACGATACTGATTGAGCTTGTATACATAAAGGAAACCAGAGAATGTTTTGAAGTGTTAGTGTGCATTAATCCTACCAAATCTGAAAGTGGGGAAACTTTTACAAAAGGGAATTTAGTAACTATTTGCGAACAGTTATATGCAGAATTGCAGATGAACAAAAGAATAAGGAGATGTTTATTGTAATTCCTCAGCCTCAGTCACAGCACGATACTGATTGAGCTTGGATATTCAAAGGAAACCAGAGAATCTTTTGAAGTATAAGTGTGCATGTAAGCCGAGTTTGGAGTATATTTCTATATTTCATTCATGGGGAATCATAAAGGAGGCTTGATATCAGTACAAACCATAGGCCTAATAAGTGTTTGTATCGTATGTATACCTCAAAGGAAAGTGGCAACATTACAGAAATGTAGCAGATTATTTTATTGTAAGACAGTAAAATTTTTATTTCTATTTTCCATTTCGACTAAGAATGAGCTACATGGACATTGACATGAATTTAATCTCTTCTGCATTGTACAGGTGCATGTGAATGTAAGATACACATCAAAGTTTGCCCTCTATGAATCTCATTTCTCTCTATTTTGTCTCACTCCTTCTTACTCAGTCATTACTTACATTCCTTTACAATCCTGTCCCCTTCTTGTCCCCTCCCCCTCCCCCCCCCCCCCCACAGGCTTTCTATCTGTATATCCGTCTTTTATCTACCTCTCTCTCTCTCTCTCTCTCTCACACTCTCTCTTTCTCTTTCAGACTAAATTACAATATACATAGAAAGGACATAGAGACCCCCCCCCCCCCCCCAAAGTATGCCTTATCAATATACCATGTCTGCTGCCCTCTTCAAACAATAACAGTTCAGGCTCCTAAGGCAGATATGAATGATGATAAGTTCATAGGATGTACTTCTAGGTAAACTGTTAGCACAATGGCAAGATTGCACAGTAATGATGTGTTTTAAAAAGGGGGAAAATTACATATGAAGGGATCTTATATAGAAAACATAAAACTGTTTTTGTCAACAAATGATAAAACAGTGATTTTAAGATAATGCTGATGAGATTGGGATAATAAAGTATTATGCTAAAAGTACACATATACCTGTACCTGTATATAAAAAGCAGCTTAGAAATTTCAAGCTCCCAAATATTATTATTTGTACTGATATCACAATAAAAAAGAATATGGGGTAAAATATTATGGATCGAGTCTGTAAACAAATGATAACATACATGTAGGTCATGTTCTGAATGATATTGTATTTAGATTTTGGCCTTGTAAGTTGTAATGATAAGTATTGCTGTACACAAGTCTGTGTATACCTGCAGACAAATTACCCTGATGTCATTTTTTAATTGTTATGTAAATGTTTTACAATCTTTTTCAAAATAAACTCCATTATTTCTGATCACCGCTTATCATAATTTATATCATGCACTTTTATTCTTTTAAATCCAAGTCTGCTCCATATTTGACACCCTCAGTAGTTTTATTAGTTCCAGACTTTGTTCAAATTGTATTCAGTCGCACAGCATCCCTCTCCAGGTTCATGTCATGTTATGATCGGCTTGAGTAAAATGGATATGTTCTCTTCTTTTTTTTCTCTCTTTTTGGGGGGATGCTTATAAATGTACATAATGTGACAGTGTTGGCTCAGTCAGTATAGCGTCCGCCTCACAACCGGGAGGTCGTGAGTTCGATCCCCGGTCGCGTCATACCAAAAGACGTTAAAAGATGGGAGTTGCTGCTACCTTGTTTGACGTTCAACAATAAGGAATAGAGCAACGTCGATCTGGCGCTGCTCATTGGCTGCCGGGCTCACGATCAATTGGGCAAAAAGAATTTTCATTTCGGTTTAATAAAATTTGGAGTGGACTAAAAGATTATTATTATTATTATTAAGTTATTGTTTTCTTTTTCTTTATTTCTTAAACTTGCAATTCATTAGATTTGTTATATCTTGCTTATCTGTGCTATTTTATTATATAAAGTTACATGGATTGGAAAAGAAGACCTTCAAGTTATAGTTATTTAGTTAATCGTTTTCTTTTCAGTCCTGGCATCCTTGTGACTCATTCCCAACCTTACTGTTGTTTTGAATTCACTGTTTTCTTGATTTTATCTACGCTGAATAAATGATGATACAATAATAATAAAAAAAGGCCCCAATCGCATCAATTTTTTGAGAATGCTTCTAGAATCAGGGCATTCCGGAAACATTCCAGAAAGCCTAACGAGGGCATTCTGGAGGCATTCCGAATGCCAGTTGAATAAATCTGTGGCGCCTAATAATACCATAATAATAATAATGATACTATTAGAAGAGCAATTGTAGTGAACTCCAAAGTGTTTCTTCATAATGTGATATAATACCATGGGTATAAAATAAATCATAAAAGGTCATTTACAACTAATAATGCATCCTCTTGTGGCCTTTCAAAGTCCTTTTATCTCTTATAATGAATAATACACGTACTTGAGATAGATACATGTATCAAAAACTCATTAAAAGAAACTTGATTAACAAACAATATATCTTAAAATGATTAGAAATCAGGGGCAGTGTTTCACGTAGCCAACTGAAGTACGAATCCACCAACATGCCCCCGAAACATGTCGAATTAGATAATTAGATAATGGGATTGTCCGTTATGTTAATACGCTAATGACGGTTTGGGAAACGATGCCCAGTTCTCACCTGATTGTCCTGGTGTGTGCCTTGAGAGACATGGCCTGAACGTACTCAGATTCACTCAGTGTGAACACATCAGCTGCTTGGTTGGACTGCAAGTACAAACATCAAAGTTACATGAACAAAAAATCTACATTTATGTAAACAACTTCTCAGTGAAAAAAAGGCTATTTATCTGTAGATCTGATAACACATCAATCTAAAGGTGCTTGAATGAAACAAATTGCAAAGTTAAGAGGAAAATGATTAAATTGCCTGGATGATAAACAAACATTGTTTGAATGTACTAAGATTCAGAAGTGTGAACACAGTTGCTTGGTTAGACTGCAAGTACAAAGGTCACAATATCAACAGGGACTGCAATACCTTTAAAAAAAACATTTTTAAACAGTGCACTAGCACATAAACAGAGGGCGACGATTTCTATTCCTGACGGGGGGGGGGGGGGGGGGGGGGGGGGGGGGGGGGGGCATGTCTAAACGTTGCACTATTAGGCCAGAGCCTAAAAGTGTGTTGCACTCTTTATTTAATACTTGCTATTCATTTTTTTATGCGCTTTTTCAAAATTTTAGGGGGGGGATGATACCCCCCTAAAAAAATTGAGGGGGGGGGGGGACATGTCCCTCCCCCCCCCCCCCGAATATATTAGAATATATTTCATCTTAAAGCTACAAATGGCTCTCCATAATGTTTAGGTCCAACTTAGATTTAAGTTCGACTTACGATCTTTGTGAAACCCCCTCCCCCCCCCCCCCCCCTTGACACTTTTGTTCAATGCTGAGCACTAGATGTATCATCCTGTGTAAGCTCTGACTTATTCTTCAACATTTTATCATTATCTGGAATGACAACAAGGGTACCTTTTACAAGATTTTACAACTTGCTGCTTCCTAATCCTAAATATTAACGTTTGCCTAATTATAATAATTATAGGCATTTCTATAGCGCCATCTATCTAAAAATTCTATTCTGAGGCGCATTAATTATTACCCAGCTTTAGCCTAGCTGCCATTGCAGCGCTCCAGCATTTCAAGGAATAAATTCCTGCCAGGTACCCATTCACCTCACCTGGGTCGAGTGTGGCAAATGAAGATTAATGCCTTGTCAAATTGCCAGTAGTGCCGTATTGGGGATCGAACCACGACCTTTGAATTTCAAGTCAAGTGCTTAAACCACTCGACTACGACACTTCTACCTAGCAGAAGGGCATAAGCATATGCACAGACAGAGGTTGTACATTTCCACCAAAAAAATTAACTCATCAAGTTTTAACCTGTCTGTAATTGAATCTACAACGCATGTTTCACTACTTGCTTGCTAGATCATCAAAATTGTTAACAATAGATTATTACTGCTCAACATTATTCTTCAATCCTTGATTATGCAACTACAGAAATAAAAGATTTGACCAAACTTTATATTTGCACCATTCTGCGCGGCACACAATGATATCTTGTTGGTAAACACAATTACTTACAGCAGTAACAAACTGATTCTTCTGTTCTGAATGAGGATTCCACTCTGCGACACTGATGTCCCATTTCATGGTCGTCTTGTGTTTTACCCTCTGTGGTTTACAATGGGGAATGTCCGATAGACACAGCACATCTATCCCCCTCCGCCTGGCAATGAAAACAAGACAAACTATGATTATGACTTCAACGGATGTTTCTTATCTCTTTCTCTTGCATTTTCATTTGTTCTGCTTATTTCTTTTATATCACATTATCTCTTTATATTTACCCTGTGATCTGAATGTTCTAAAGTCACGAAATACTGAATGCTGTACGCTCATTTTTAAGTTCAGATAACATTGGACTTACGTGCAGGATAGATATTCAAATTATAATATTAAGTCAAATATATTACATGTAGGTAGATTTTAATTCAATATCTGGTCATTTTTCTTTTTAATTACACTGTAGGTATCTTTACAACTTTCTCAAAGGCAAAATTTCAGGTATTCATGTGAAATGTAGTGGTACATAAAAGTCATTACAGCATACAAAATGCATGACAGTTAAAATATTCTGCATAGACGCAGAACCACAATATCTTGAGCTGAATGTAGTGCATATTAATTATGCTTAATTATAGCTCACAGATTTAATCAGATACATGTAAGTGTATTTACCATCTGAATTCAGATGTACCAACAATACCCTAAAACTGCCTTTTTATGTTCCAGGTGCATGTTAGTATCTACTTCACTTCTAGAGGATATATCTTAAATCTCACTTCAAATGTTAAAGAAGGAATACCAACCCTGCCAAGAGTACAAAATCTCCAGTTGAATCCAGTGCCATGGCAGTGGCCTGTAAATAAAAAATACAAAGATTCCATTAAATGGGAAGCAACAAAGTACAAACTATCAAAATGAGAGTTAACGTAGCTCTCATACAACAGTGGTAAACTACAAATGTGACTTCGGTTCATTATGGTTGTCAGACTTTACACATTTATCAACAAGATGTTGCTCAAGACTAGACTATTTGACTTTATACGATACTAACAGGAAATTCAATTTTTAATTTTTTGCACTCCTTCCAATTTACCAGCGCACAAGCCTCATATCAGATTGTTCTTCACCATTTTTTATTGTATAGCAATAGTCCAGCATGTCACCATAATGTTTTTGTCATTGATATTGTGATATCATTGAATTTGTCTTTTGATTTGTGATTTTTCATGCAAAGCAGTCCAAAGAAACAAGTGCCATGTTTACAATATAATTTGCAATTGTGCAGTGTCATTTTGTTTACATTCTGACGAAACTTTTAGAATATAATGAGAGTGACATTCAATATACGAGAATACGGAAATACACCAGACGGTGGCCTGTACTTATAGCGAAGAAGAAGGTGAGCAGTATACCGGTATTCTGTAGCCGACTCCTAAACTAAACTTGCCCTAGTGACTTTCAAAAGTAGTGTACTTTTGTATCCATTAGTGCATACCGAGGAAGGGGTGGGCCCACATAGATTTCAAGATTTCAAGATTTATTTATTTCTTTCCACTTGCATTAAAAACATTTCATTCAGGAACAGTAGTAACAAGTTCATCGTCACCTAGCATAAATACATTAACAATGAAACAGTTATAAAGACTTTAACAAATGTGGAAAAAGAGGTGGTCTGTTAAAAAGCACAGCTTGTTAAAACACAGATCACCTTTACAGAAACAACATTTTTTTTAAAGAAATAGGTTACAATACAGGGGGAGGGGGACTAACAATACTAATCTAGTTACCTATACAGACTATAAATAAATATCAGATCTACCACTAATTTACAAGATATGGTAGACTAAAAAAGAAAACAGAATAAAGATAATGGAAAAGTAATGGAAAAGAAATAGGGGAAGGAGGATAATATACAACATGGCGGGGGGGGGGGGGGGGGGGGGGGGGGCAATGCTAATCCAGCTACCTAGATCTAGACTAGTATAATTGAATATTAAGGCCATGTAAAATTGATTTCATGTTGATCGTCCCCGCCCGCTTCCTTTTTGGGGGCCGCCTCCTATTTTTTGTTATTTGTTATTTTTTTTTTTTTTTTTTTTTTTTTTGAATTTTTTTTTTGAATTTTTTTTTTGAATTTTTTTTTGAAAGAAAAAAAACATGAAAAACACTGCTAAAATGGCTCTATTTCTGATTAAAAAAAAAAAAAAATTGTCGGCGGCCATCTTGAAAAAAAATAGCCTCGACTGTCAGGGAAAATGTACCGAGCGGCCATTTTGAGCGGCCATCTTGAAATATCAAATATCAAATAACATGGTACACCCTCCTCCTCTTTTTCAAAAAATCCGGACGATCAACATGTAATCAATTTTACATGGCCTAATAAATATCAGATCTATTCACTGTAAGTGTACAGTAGATGAAATTTCAGCTTACGTTTGTACCTGAAGTTAGTGACCGTAAACTTCACGCATGCTCGCGGGCCCGCACCCCTTCGCCGTATATGGTTTGCAGTTGTATTGTAACTATTCAGCGGTTTGCCGTGAAACCTGTGCAAACTTGTCTTTGTTTTTAAGAAAAATACTCCAAAAAAGATAAGAAATTGACACAAAACTCAAAAGGAGTAAGAAATTGAACAACTTTATAATGACCATTATTTGAACAATTGATGAAGATTAAGTTGATTTTTCGGTATGTTTTAGTAGGGTATCTCCACGCCGAAGTTACGGGTAAAAAATTATACAAAAGTACACCAGCGCTAGCGCCACTAAACTTGTTTAGACACAAGCGGAATACATGTATGTTTACTAACATCAATGGGCATACGTGGGGCACTATACAAAATACGTAGGTAAATTCCGGGCTTCATATCTACTTATCATGTTATTAATGAAAATTGTGAGTTCATTCATTCGTCTCGTACTCCTCTCATCATTTATAATTACCTGAGATTCTGAGCAGTTTTGTATAGAAACATTTTCAGCCGTCCAAGTCCAGCGAGTTGACATTTTTCCAGCAATTATCGATTCTATGTGACCTAGATATCGATATTCATCCCGATTCGTCAATCTGCCACCCACCCCCCCCCCCCCCCTCTTGAATTCTCCTCCTCCTCCTCCTCCTCCTCCTCCTCCTCCTCCTCCTCCTCCTCCTCCTCCCCGTACTCGAACGTCCTCCACTTCCCACTCCTTTTCCCCTCCCTCCCTCCAATAATTTGAAAAGTGGGCCCTTTAAAACAAATAGCCTACCGGGTACATAAACAATATATAAACTTTTAAATGGAAGGTGTTTCCTAGGCATAGAGCTCCTCCTCCTCCTCCTCCTCCTCCTCCTCCTCCTCCTCCTCCTCCTCCTCCTCCTCCTCCTCCTCCCCGTACTCGATCGTCCTCCACTTCCCACTCCTTTTCCCCCTCCCTCCGCCTCCAATAATTTGAAAAGTGGGCCCTTTAAAACAAATAGCCTACCGGGTACATAAACAATATATAAACCTTTAAATGGAAGGTGTTTCCTAGGCATAGAGCTCCTCCTCCTCCTCCTCCTCCTCCTCCTCCTCCTCCTCCTCCTCCTTTACTTTAGAATAGCTTTAGAAATAAATCATGTAATCTGACTATTATTGGTGCTTGCATATTGCATGAATAACTTATGTTAAATTCGGCCCCTTACGATCATAATTTTAGTACCTGAGACATATTTGGCTAACAGAGCCTCAAACACTTTATCGCTGTGTTTCGACATCAAAAAGATGAATTCGTGTGTTGCTATTACTATTACAGAGCCTCAAACACTTTATCGCTGTGTTTCGACATCAAAAAGATGAATTCGTGTGTTGCTATTACTTTCCATCTAAAATTATTGACTGTAGACCGTTTCTATGTTCCCTTTAGAAGAGATACCTGCCCCGTTTGTTCTTTGCGAGTCTTTATCATCAGTGATCAATATTCTATGACGTTAATTCATAACATTGAAGGGACAAAACACGACAAAATTTAAACATTTGGGCACTTTAGGCAAATTTACCCCCTTTGATCACTGGGCGCCATCATTTTCATTGTTAGATTTCTCATTTGAATTATTTCTTTATTCAGTACCCCAACCCTTTCCCTGAATCATCCATATTATTAAAAGAAATAGGCCTAGACGCAGCATGCAGGAAAAAAAAAACGTCAACGTTTTAGAAAATGCATACCCACTACTAGTAAGTATCCTATCCTGCTTTTATAGTACGCCATCCTCCTAGTTCCCTTCACATCCAATGAACTATCATAGCGCCCTCTTTGTTTCTCTTATTGGCAATAATTTTCAGTGGACGTATTTTTCTATTCTCCTTTGGGGTCGGCTTTGCGGTAGGGGTGGGGTGGCCCCTTTGCCTTCTTCACCTTGGAGCCGCCTATAGAAAGGCCTTCATTATAAATGAGGATTTATTTAGGAAGTCTAATCCGTGAACGAAGTCTTCATCTTTGTCGCAAGACGAGTTTTTTTTACAACATATAGAGGCCTACTCTAAGGTCATGGACCATTACGTTCTAATCTTATATTGTTACTGACTTTAACTGACTGATTGCAAATTGTAACACTGATTCTGGAGCTATATATTATAAGCTACATTTGTAAATTTGTAAATAGTGTATATATATATATATATATATATACGTTCATTGAACAATATGAAGATTACATTGCGTGTAGACCAGCTAACAAATTTTGGGATTGCATTAAATTTAAAATAATAAAATATTTACTCGGGGGAAAAACCTTGATTACCATGTTGCTAGTTGGTAGCTCCAGCTACCAAATAAGAGGTATGAACGTTGTATTCACTATCTATCAATGTACTTATTAGTGACGTGATGATAAATTCAAATTCAAATTCAAATCATAAATGTGATTAGTGTGAATAAAATTATTAACATCTCCTATTTTGTAAGGTCATTCAGCACGAGTCTGGACAATTATATTCTCTCCATATCCATTACTATATAGCCACCATCATCAACTCCATCCTCATCACAAATCATCATTTGGATTATCATTAATCTCACATTTACAATGAACATTATCCCATCATCAGTTACAACGTGACTTTCATCAGACATCACCCCCGCCATCATCCGGATTCACATCATAATCACTATTGTTTAATGAATAATGCATGTAATTCTGACAATTATTATCCCATTATTTCTCCTTTCATGTCTCAACACCATCACCATCTGACATTCAATGTTTTCTCTTCCCTTTCTCTAATTTAATACACTTGCGATTCTGTTGTACCTTACTATTATCATGTAAAATCATATCAATTGGAAAAGAAGACCTTCGGGTTATCAATACAAAAAAAAAGGACCGTCATTAAAGTAACTCTCGCCTTTGTATTATTTAATCACAATTTTTAATTTGATAGCTTCATCACCATCCCAATTATTTAGTTTTTCTGATGAACCTTATCCCATGATCTCCATCAGCGTTTACTACCACCAACTTCTCTTCCTCCTAATCACCATCACGTTCATCATCATCACCATTCATTACATTTACCATTTTTAAACACGCTTATGTTCATCATCATCATCGTTATCGTCATCATGCTCTACTTCTTCCTCCTCCTCATCAGCAAACAAAATCTTTAATCTTCCACCACGTTCTTCTCAATCAACAGGAAACTCCCATCCCTAAATATTGCTACGTTTATCCCCATCATCCCATTGCCCCCCCCCCCCCACTTTCTTACAACCCTCTCCGCATCCGCTTATCGTACTATCCATTGAGAGAGAGAGAGAGACACACACACACAGAGAGAGAACGTCGGATACCCTGCGTCCACGTACATACAATAATTATAATCAGTAGAAATAAGCAACACATATTACACCAAAATCAGGACGATGTTATTTTTTATGTACAATTCAAAAACTTGTTTTTATTGATACATGCAAAACTTAGAAAATGCATAATACATTTAAAGGGGGTGCTTTTAAATTACAAAGCGAGACGGGAATGAATACAAAATAGACCTGGTACAACGAAATAAACCTAAAATTTTGCAAAAACATCACAATCGCAAATAGAAATTAACAGTATTTATTTATACTGTATACGTGAACACAAATCTCGTATTTCATTCTCACAATGAACAAGTTAACACAAGTAAAATAGGTTTTTATACTAAAACAATAACAGTATCTATACTGTTCCTAAGATTCCATTATAATAATTATAAAAAATCCTAATTGGATTTCATTAAAAGAGTCTCAGTTTGAAAATAATAACACTGTCACGTGTACAGTCTGAAACAAAAACTATGATTTCTTTAACGATATCAAGAGTAAAAAGAGTTACAATATCGACACGCAAGAAGCAAAGTGAGATTCCGCTTGAGGTCTGAAACCTAGATTAAGCAATGTTCACATTACTCGGAAAACATCGACCAGTCATAGTACCACAGCAAAATTATGTGAACTTTATAAAACTAATTGATTGGATAAGTGTTAAAACTTGATTAATCTTGTCTTGTACCTTTTTAGTAATCCATTTTTGTTTAAATTATGCAATTTTTCTGCAAGATATCTGCACTTCATTTCAAGTTGCACACGATGCGTTATTTCGAAAGTGCTATTACCTGCACTAATCAAGTCTGTAGAGGGCGTTCATCCCATGCCCCAGTAATTCACCGCAGTGGGTACACTGTTATCATTATTGTTATTACAAAATTATTCTCATTATATTTTCATTTTATTATCATTATTGTTATATATATTTTGTTTGGGGAGAGGGACAATGTCCTTCCGATATCCCCCTTCCATCGTGCGTCATAGATCGCACCAGTCGTCAAAGCAGCCCTACCTCTGGCAAATACGGTCCACATAACAAACAATAAGGGGTAACTACGTCGTTGTGAAGTTGTTGACACTTGACAAAGTAAAATATAATGAAAATTATCGATTACACTACAATGTTAATAATACATAATATACCCGTTTTCTAAAAGAACCACTTATACAAAATATGCTTTTGAATGGATGGACTTTATGCGCCAGAAAAGCAACGCACAGTTTGATCATACATTTAAACCAACCAAATGCACGAAAACGAACATTGTGTTTAATATGCATTCTTAATTAATGAACAAAAAAGAAAATAATTGCATTTCATGTACAAGCACCACGTTAACCTTGACCATCACAAAAGCAATCATAGCAGAATGGCGATATTAAAGTATTACGAATGCATAGGCCGAATTCATAGGGCAGCATCCATGTAACAATGCAGAGTTAATTGTTCATTTCAAACAAGCACTGGTGGATAATCCAAAAAAAATGGCAGGACAATTCATCTATCATGAACAATTTCAGACATCAGTGAACAAAACATCAGGCCTTTGGAGTAAGAAAAGTTCATTTTTTGCATCAACATGTAGCATCTAGGGTAACAATAATCTCATTCACATTCTAACGAAGACACATTCTTATTTACAAACAGTTTATAATGTCCAATACAATTACATATCGTATCCTACACAACATCATGGTCTACGTATTCAGCATACTTAGAGGCATGATAAATTTGACTCTGGACTATCTTACATTTTACATGAACGTAGTTTTACAAATATAGTACATTTAATATCAAATACGATCTTGTTTGGACTAGCAGGTTTTCTAGAGCTACACTTTGGGCGACGTGCGAAGAATCAACATTTGATATAGACTCGCTCAAAAATTGTGGCATGGTTAATTCCAAACTGTATAATTATTATACAATGTAATGATAAAAAAAGACAGACAAACGTTCACATATAAAATTTAGCTAAACCTGTTATGTATACGTAGAATAGAGGAATTGAAACAGAGAACGGTGAGACAGAGAGAGAAGAAGAACAATAAAGGAGAAGAAAAAGACGGATTAAAGGAGAAGAGAAATGTGAACAATCATGAGTTCCAAAGTACCATTACGATATGAATGGCATTTGGAGATCCACCCTCCCGTTTATCCTCAAGTAATTATAATCAACGACCCATCGAAAATATGATATATCAGCGCATCGACGCGCCGAGGTTGAGCTTTAAAACGGCAATAAGTCATCAGTCTCCCTCGAGTATAAAAGGTACAAATCATTTCTAATGTTGTTAGCGATGCATCTAAATAAAGCAATAAGTTAAAATGGCATTTAATGTTACATGTGTTGTCACACTACCCGACTACAGTGCTCTATCAAAAACACACGCCCCTGATAAAATGTAAATAAAAGCAGGAAAATATCATTTTTACAGATAAGGTCTAGTGCAAAGAGTTGGAAAAATGGTTAAAATGTGGAACATGCGATAAAGATTTGGCAATATATTTATTAGCTGAATACATATTAATGCTGGGCTCAGTTTGTCTTTAAGCCCGAGAACTTTGGCGATCTTGAGATGAAAGAAAGAAAATAAGTTAAGAATAAATTCAATTGAAATTCTTTCGATGCTACAATTAAGATAGATTAATATCCCATATTCCCGATATTCAACAGTAACGCTCATTGCTGTCGAAAAACGAATACATTATCTGACTGCAGTCTTGTTATATTACAGATGCATACATTTAAAAAAGAAAGGTTCTTTACAAAAACAGATATTTCCATCTTTTACAGAAATTTCGGCAATCATGACAGTATACGCTCTTTTACACCCATTGTACACGAGACGCTATTTCCTTTGCTTGCGTTATGCGCGTGCGCCAAGCAAATCACAGAAGCAAATTAGCGCGTACGCCAGTAAACTGACACATTCCTTGCAGCGTTACATTTCGCACTCTTTTTTTTTGGTGTGAGATGTCAGTCCCATTCCGTGCGTCAAAGACCACTCATTAGTGACTGCCGCAACGTAACGTCAGCAAAATGACGCTTCGTGCGCAATGGGCATCACATATTTCATGAAAAACATTACATCAGTCCTCTTAAATCAAAACAAGCGTCAGCGCACGACAAAATAAACAATAAAAGTACAAGCACAGCTGAAGACATCGCAGGGTTGACTGCAATATTTTCATCATTAGGTTCCGTTTTATTGGCATGTTGTGTTCCCACGCGTGTGCTGTATCCTTTTAATGTGCAAAATTGTTCAGTCGGAAAAACCGTAAGGGATTTTACATGACAGTCGTCTTTTCAAATTATGCTGTAAATGTGCACAAAACGCTTTTGATGCAATTAGAAGAAAAGAACGCATTTTTATTGGACAATGCGACGCGGCGGTGTGCGATAATCCTATTTCAAAGTGCAAATACCGTGCGTTCCCTCTCTCCATTTCCGGAAGAGTTTCACGATGGAAACTATTTATATCATCCACTGCTTCAGCGCATTGATACTTTGTAAGATGGATGTAATTATTTGCCTCAGCGGCGCTGCAGAATAATAAACATCGTGACGTGGTTTCCTCACAGCTTACTCCGTTATTTTGAAACGCTTTTCATACAAGCCTGCAGAACCTACCATAGACGGCTAAGAGATATTCGATTGTCAGCAAAGTACATTAGTATATCATTCAAAGGAAATGAAAGATGGTGTTTGTATCATTCTTGAGCGTCTTAAGATATAACAAAAATCGTGTTGATATTATCGTGCAGACGAAGGGAATGCTAATGATGAATGTAACTTGTTACTTTTTGTCTTCTGTGACGATTTTGTTTGGTCAGTGCTCAGTATACATTTACAGCTCGCCTCTTCTGGAAAATCAATTTCCATGAGAAAAAAAATGAAGATAAGGAAGAAGAACTTTTCTTTATACTAGCGTCATAGATTCAATCGAATTGCATCACACTTTTTGATAGAATGCTTCTGTGCGAATAGCCAGATGAAATACAAAGTTTGGTCACTGGCCCAAGATTGAGCCATTTATGATTTCAACAACCTTGTTGCCACAAATGTTTATTGTACCATAAAGTGGGATACGATATATGTGATTCAAATATTTGGCAATACCTCTAAACATTGAAACTAAACCCCTTTAAAATCTTTCCTCATATTTGTTTGTTATTATTCTTTCATTTCAAAGGTTTTCCCTCGCAAGAGAGATATAATTAATCCGATCCTATACAGCGTATGACATTAGGCATATAAATACTAACAGGTAAACAAACCTTGGTCCCATGTGTAAACATTAAGTACAAAACATACGAAGTTTCCCACGATAACTGATAAAGTTTGCAAAATTTCATCTCCTTTGCCTTGGTGATACACTAGGTGATACACTAGTCGATACACAAGCAATATCACATGAAAACAATGATGCTGGCATTTATACGGATATTTCCCTGCCTTAGAGGAAAGAAAAACATCTCAGTTATTCTACATCTTTGGCAATTTGTAGAATATAATTTGTTTGAATGAAAAAAGCTGAGCAAATAGCGTATTATAGACTTTTTATCTGTTACATGACTTTATCAATACAAAAGCTACCTTCTTTGAGCCGAGTGCTACCTCTATGTACATTTCCACAAGCGTTAGTGAGCTGTCAATCCCGCTAATTTCTAATCTTGTACTACATGGTGAGCAAGCAGTTCCTGTACAAAATAAAATGTCCATTTATATGAGAAAAAAACGAACTCATCATTTTTCCAATTGACAGAATAACTTCCACCACGAACGTACGTATAAATAATAGAAAAAGGTGAGTTCTTAAATTAGATATATGCTACAGTGCAAAAGTACATCATAATTCTTATGCAATGTGATAGTCATAATATGGCCGAGGGGTGCTGTCCCTAGACTTTCTGCGGGAACTCCATCCTCCCGTTCTCGTAGTTGTACCCTACACTGTATCCCCCGTTGTGGAAAGGAGGGTAGCCGGGTGGAAAGTTAGGGTAGGGCCTTCCCGCCGTGCCGTTGGTGTTGCCGTTTGATGCTTGCGATGAATAGGATGAGTAGTTGGAATTGTGGGAAGGATATGAACCGGGTCTTGGCGTAGGTGGCGCCCTGTATTGTGCCTTCTGGTCTGAGGGGTTGTTTCGTTTGGAGCAGCAGCAGCAGCATACAATACATAGTACGATGAGACATAGAAGCAGAAGGCCAACGGCGGCACCTATCGCTGCCATGACGGGTACACCTAGCGTTTCAATACCTTTCTCAAAAATATTGGTAGCTGCATGGAAATAGAAGAGAAGAAGAACATAAAGATAGAGAAAAAAAACAATAGTATTAATGTTTCTGCTACAGTTGATCTTGCTTCATGCAATCAGAACATTAGAAAACAGGTCTGTTTAACAACATCTCTTACTATTAACTGCAATACAGCAGTAGGGGAGGGAATGACTTAACTGCAATTTTTAGCAAAGGTTTGCAGGGGAGGAGAATGACTTCATCATATTTAAAACTTTCTTACAGGCAAACGAAATTGAAGACATTAAGCTCAAACACCATTTAGAAAAATCATCCACTTTTTGGACTACAATTTACACTACTGGAAAAACCCATAAAAAACATTGAAGTCTGCTCATACCGATTTTGGGCTGAGTAGTGCGCAAGCGCCACTCATCGATGCTCTGCATGTGTTAGCATGGAAGCGAGTAGAGTCACGTGAGCAAAAAATTGTATCTCACCAAAGTTTGCATTTACACTGCAAACATCAGTGAAACTTTGGCAGACTTTGGCAAAAATAACACTCTAGGGTGGATTTTTTCGATATTGATTTTTTTTTTGTTGTGGTTGCATAGCAACTGCTGGCGAAACATCAACATGTGAGAAAAACCAATGATTTTTGGTTCCAGTGTAAATGCAGCTATTATAACTCTGTACTCCCCCTACTTGAAGGACCCAATTGTATTGTATTGTATTGTATTATTTATTCGGCACTTTCAAGAAATATAACAATTTAACAATATAAACATGGTAAATACAAAATTGGAATGACAACAAATGTGCAAATACAAATTTTTGTAGCAATATTCTGAGTGCAAAAGATGGCGGCCAGGGAAGAAGAGAGCAAACTTAATTACTGTAACCGTGAAGGTCCCTCCGCCCAACCAACTGATGCACTCAGAAGACTGGTAAAAATATAGCATAAGGACAAATAAGACAAATCAAGTAACAAATCAAGGATAAACAATAAAAATATAAAGAAAGGCGAGGCACGAGCATATGTAACGCCAACATAGAAATTATAGATAACATATTACAAATTTGCAATTTCAATAACATATTACAAATGTACAATTTCAAATTGTAATTTGGGTTGGATGTTATGAAAGGAAACTAGAGGGAATGACTTGAAATAGGTAGATGAGCCTATGAAGATTCAAGAGGCATCACAGGAGTTCATCAGCATTGGGATCTAACCACATCGACAAAGAAGCAAATAAACCTCAGGACTACACTCTTGATACTCCATAATAGACCGATTTACTAACATTTTCAAATCTTATACATACTCTTTAAGCAAAGGTTGTTCTTGACAACCTAAAAGTTTGCCGAGGCTTGCTTGACATAACAACAAGTAATGTTAGCAAACTGGATTCTAAGTATTGTAATTCATTCATTAATAACAGGTTAATGTAATAACTCCTCAATAGGTCCCCAGGAAAGATAAAACCATACATTTGCCTATGTTAGTAAACAGGTCTACGTATTCTGTGATATTCGATGCTTCCCTTTCATGTACTTACATGCTTTACAGTTACTGGGTTCCTCATCACTATCGTCATTACAGTTTGGCATGCCGTTACACGTCAGCAAGGGGTCTATACACATCGTGCCATCGTTACACATGAAACACTCTGGAGTTCGCTCTGTGATGGAAAGGGGAACAGAAAAATTAAAATTTCATTCAGAGCCAAATTAAATGAGGGCACAGTCATGAATCCATGATCATCCGATTCACATGTTTTTCATTACAGTAACTCCACTAGATTTACATGCTGATCCTAAAAAAATGTGCTTTTGTGTTTCACAGAAACAACAGTATTCCAAAGGAAAAGCTGTGGGAGAGCAAACAGTGCCCAGAACAACAAAAATTCTTTAGCAATTACATCTATAATCTACCATTTGAGTTGGTCCAGTTTCACCATCATCTAGCCATGATATTGATGACTTTTCCTATTATTGTCAAAAGTTTTGTTATGTACCAAACAATCTAACATGATCTTGAATATATATTTTTTTTTTAAACCTTAAAGAACTACACCCTCCCTCATTTTTTTGTCAATTAATTAAAGCCCCACTGCACTACTTATAACTAATTGCGCCCCCTATATTGCAAACAATGCCTAATCGGTGAGCGTTGGTCCCCCATGATCCTCTTTTTCTTATGTTAATAATATTGAGAGCTTATTTGATGAGATAACCACCTGCCAGTGACCATGCAGGGATGTCTTATCCCTCCTGGCCAAACTAGTGCGACGGGGCTTTAAATCTTTCTTAATGACTTGTGTAGTGTAGTGTACCTTGTGGCTGTAAGAAGGCTGTATATGTGAACTTGATGCCGTTGTCTGGACTCGGGTACTCGTCCGTTTTGAATCGTACAGTGACCACGTTGCTAACCGATTGGTAGTCATCGGGAAATTTGCCGGTGCCGCCACAAAGTCGTACCTCTGGCGTCAGAATGTTACTCTTGATAAGGAAGATATTTCCAGACTCGTAGATGGACAATGAATCGCCTTCTGACCGACACCTTCCCTCGCGGCTGTCGTACGATCTTGCGACGTCAAAATAGTCGAACCTGCGAGCAAAGAAGAAAAGATTACCACATGCAGATTCCAGAATCATCTTCTTTCAATAACTTAACAAATTATGAACTTATGAAACATAACTCATCTTTTAACATGACATAATTGCTATGTACTGCCGTTGACATGGTTTTCATATTCATAATCGAATTGGAATGATGATTGTAATAGACCTATGTTATGATCAAAACAGGGTGTACATCTAAGACAGGGCTTTTTGCAAGAAACTATTATTACTCGAAGTTCAATGACACTTCCTGTGTGGTCTTAGATCCCTTTGAAGTGCATGGTAAAGAATTATACATGTAACACTTTTGGGGGATCTTAGATTCAATTCAATACAATTCAATTCAATTCAATTTTATTTCACATCTCTTTAAAAACACATTAGAAGATATACAAACAAATGAGTATAAATCAAACAATATAAATATAAAAACATTCATTGACATGGTACTGTGAAAGAAGGATGGAGGGCGGTGGATGCAAGGGATCAACAAAGGTCATTGGCCTGTCAAGGCTGATCCCCTATATTACCATCCTTCAAGAGAAATACATTATAAAAAATATTTAAAATAAAAACAATCAAACAAGCAGGTAATATGACAAAGCATTTAAGCAGATAGAGGAGCCGAAATTTATTTTCATGGGTTTTCCCTGTATCATCCTCCTAAACTTTAACGAGAAGTAATATTGAAAGGCTCACCTAATATTTATACGTTGTCCTTGTTTGGCATTCATTGTGAAGGTGCAGTCCATGTCGCTTCCATACGGCTCGTTCTCTACGTCATAATGTGAGGCAACTTTTCCCGCGGAGTCACTCGAGTTCTTTGGCATGCACAGGAGGGAGGGTACACGGTCTTGAATGAATACTGTAAGAGACAAAAAAGAAATTAAATTTATTATCACAAGATTATTATGGGTAATGCCATGTTTCAATTTACGTATCTGGATGAAAAACTACATTATATTTCATTAAAGATGGCCAACAAGTAGGAACAGTAAGAAAAGTAGGAATAAAGTCCTGAAGGAAAAATGAAATGAAAAATATGAATGGAACGGAAAACAAAATTCAAACGTTTCGTAGTAGTACTGGTCTCAAGGTAGTAGCCTCTTGTCTAAGTCATATATTATATGAGTCATTTTGTCTCTTTATCGTAAATGCACGTATTCAAGACATGAAAGAAACGGAAATATTTTTAAGTCAACTAACAATGTAGGAAATGTTGGGAAAGTGGGAGCGCTTTGAATGCCTGTTAGATTAAAAGTTATTCAACTATGACGGAAGACCAAGCATAAAGCATTGACATTGTGTTGTTTGTTTGTTTGATTAATTTCTAAGGTTATAATTATAATTTAGAAGAACCATCAACAAACTACTAACCATTGCGACTTCACCAACGAATATTTCTTTTAAAAAAAACTAAGGGGCATTTGCATAGAATGGGCGGCTTATGATAATAACCTCAAAGGTTGCAGGGGAAATTTATCACGATTCATTTACTTGATCGAGTCCAATCGTCGAATCAGGCATATATTCTCGTCTGCATGATTAGCTGATTTGAACGTACATCAATGACTACTGATGCATGGCCGAGTGTATTGGAGAGGAAATTATGAATTTTTGACATTCATGACCTCTCCCCAGTTATCAAGATGACTGTGTAAGCCAAATGACGATGTTAAATTAGTATTATGACTGGCAGTAATTGCGTATAAAATTTCGACGAGAGAGGAGATGCTGGGCGTAGAAGAAAATGGGGAGCGTTGGAGGAGAAAAACATCATTCCATAGATGTTTGTACGGATTATAACTGAAGTCGAGAGCACATTAAACTTACAACGGAAACTTAAACTTATCCATGCCCTGAATTATGACGTCAAAAATGACGATGATAATGATGATGATGATGATGTTGGCCCAACTATTGCGAGGTTAATGTCACTTCAAATATGACAATTTGGTGTAAGGTGTCAAAAGGTGATGCTCGTGTGTTTAAAGATCATTCGCATTGCAAAAGTTTACGAAACGTGCTTTGATTCAGAGGAATGTAGATATCCAGGAATGGGAGACAATGTTCACGTAACACTCATGTGTATACTTTACATAACTAGCTAGAGTCTATACATTGAACTGTACAATATTATTCATTATTGCAAACAAATATATATTATTTTAACTCAGAAAATGCACAATTTATTCATGTGTATATAAGCTAAAGTATATCAAGATTTGTCATTGCCCCCTTTCACATTGTTCACAAGAAGGGCAGAAATGCAAAGTATAAAGTTGACGGTGTGAAGAGTTTGAGAACAAGCAGGTTAATCATCGAAGTACATGGCGTGGAAAATCGAAAAGCAAACACCAATATCTCCCGAGTTCCTTTGAAGGCTTCCTGTAGCAAACAGGAGTGACCATATAGAACTACCATATGACAATACAGAGAGGGTTGCCTGACCTTACACATAATGGACACGTCTTTCATTCGCATCTGCATCTAACTTCATGGAGAGATGGATGAGAAGACGTCCGTGGTATTGATATTGTGTCCGAGATCAAGAGTAGGACATTGTAGGTTAAGACATGGTGATTGATTGACAGTAGTTATCACTGAAGTGAATAACTGACTTAAAAATCAAAGCAGTATTTGCATTTTGAGGCAGAAATGCCACACACATTATACGCTTGAAAACAAGAAAAGTCCATTGTTCATTAGTTGATAGTTGTTTTTTTTCCTTAGGGGAAACTGCATCCAAAATGTTCAAATCATGTCATTCTGATTTCTTACGTTGACAACTTTACAGATCGGCTGTCTATATATATTGTTTTCAATAGTTTTTTTTATTGATTCCAGATTCCAAACAATACAAATTAATTTTAGAAATAAAATACAGTTGTGTTTCCTTGACATGAATTCAAAACATTTTCATTACATAGATTGTACAATTGCATTAATGGTATCACCACAACATGCAGAGACATACAGTCAGCGATATCTAACTCTTCATATCTTATTCATAAAGGTCAGAAGCTACTCAATCCACAGACATGACTTTGGAGGAGAATCCACATCATTCTCCTGTCTGAGCTGTAGTCGTGGACGACATTTTCGCCGGGGGACAGTTTTCACACCGTCACACTCACTGGCACTACACACAGTGAGTCATCCACGAGGTCTCACACTGCCCATTACGAAGTAGACACACTCTTGCGATGGTGCGTGCGAGGATACGGTCGCGTACAAAAGCCTCACTTGGGAGTCTCGATGTGGCGCCCGCAATGCATTCCCGTCTACTGCTGAAGGCTAAAATAGCAGCGGATGGCGACCGAAAAATGGGGTTATGTACAGTAAAGATTAATCATATCATATCATAGTCATAAATAGGATGATTAATAAGGTTTAGAGCACGGTCAATTGGTCAAGCTATTGTTTACAGAGACAGACGCTTACGTTTTACGGGCTCTATTTCTGTCCTCCATCTCAATACGACCAATACGAATTACCAGCATGTGAAAACATGATGTGACGGCGCCACGTTTCAATGCCCGTCAACATTGTGACCATATCGAAATTAAAGAGTAATTTGGGGAAGCTATATGATACGAAATGTATTGTCGAAATGAAAATATTACTAATTTACTTAGGACCTTTTAACTAATAAGTTTTGCCCCACAGGATTTGTGTGCAAAATAAGATTCTGTTTAATCTTAACCTTTCCATAAATTTGATTATCCTCATGATCTATTCTTATCCTGTTTCGAAATGCAAAATAAAACAAGTGAAGAAGTAAATCATAATTATAGAGAAAAAAAATCGTGTCGCTTCTCTAATCCATCAAAATTATTACATCATAATTATCATAAGCTGCCTTAATGTCTGATATTTTCAAACATGAATATTTGTTGAACATAAGCCAAGTTTAATGTAAAGCACTCATGACAGTGTCACTTCTCGTTACCCTATCTAAATTGACGTCTTTACGACTGTAACATTTACGAAGGATCGTATTCTAATGTGTATACCGTATCATAATGGGTGAAGTATGCTCTATACGGCGAAGCAAATGTGGGCAGGGAAAACACCATGTCTCCCCCATATAAAAGCCCTCTGGCTACGCGCGTTTCATTGTGGATTTGTGTATAAGAACACAACAGAGCACGCGGAGCAGAAAATCATATTGTTCTAATTACCCCCAAATGCTATATTGCGGTCAACACAAAGTGAACGCAGTGAATAAAACTAATATCGGTAAATTAACGTGAATATGGGTAAAGATTGAAAGGCGAATGAAACACGGATGAGTGAAAATTGTAGTTTTTTTAAATTTGATTCGGCGAATGACGCATAGTTTAGGGGTGGAAATTGAATTGATGACTGGGGAAAATGGGTTGCGAGGGATGATGGTTAGACCTCAAATTTATTCCAAGCTAGTTGAGCTAACTGGAGACAAAATGCACGCTCATGCTGCAGAAATATTAGGGTCACCTCGCGGCCATGTGATTATTATGTAAATCACTTCGATGTGGTGTGGTCTACAGTGAGGCATAGAGGCCGCCTGCTTCCATATCTGAATGAAACTACTCGACGTATTCTAAAAAGTTGCCCGCTACAAAATTATTCAGTTCTCAACCCCAAGAATGATGGATGATTTGGAGACGAATTTCAAATAGCAATACATTGTTGGCAGCCCGCAAGAAAGCCGTTACCCCCATAGACATTCATAGCTCTTAGTGTGATGGCCTTCTGGCGGCCAGTGGACGATATTTTGAAAATGCGATAAATTTCAGAGAACGTGTGAATGTTCTCGTGAATAATAACTAAAATACATCCATTATATCCACAAACATAATAACGGCGCCAACTTATGCCCACGCGGTCAATGCATAATTGCATAAAACTCATATTTCATAATTCGTAGTTCACGGACTAGCCACACACATTGCACTGTCGCCTTTTGCAAAACGCTGCATTCGCCAATCACGAATACCTACATAGTTGTTGCCATTGCATTCTGAGTGCACGTTCAGAACTATGTATTTTCTCAGTAAGAAATGATGCATCTTGCAGGAATTAAAGCTATTAAAAAAAATAGCACGGCTGTCTTTTATACGACCAATCCACACGGCATTGCTCGTAAAAGAGATAATCTTCAGTCTCGTTTATTTGTATTCTCAGTATTATCTGCCTTTAAATATCCTTCACTTATGAATTCATATTTTCTCCAAATCAAATTTTCTCTCCAAATTCTCCATCTATGTTTGTATGACGTATCATCCCTTTCGATATCTCTCCAATTTTCTATCTCTCTATTTCTCTCACTCTCACTTTCTATCTATACCCGCCCCTTTCTCTCTCTCTCTCTCTCTCTCTCTTCTCTGTCTCTCTCACATTTACTTTGTCGCTCTCTCTCATCTAAGTTTTACGACGGACGGGGCGGTCGTAGAGAAACGGGACCTAATCTTTCCGTTTATCCTCGTCGGTCGGATAATGAGATATGAGTCACAGGGAACATTATTAAAAATATCAAAAGAACAATCTTTCAGGAATGATTTTTCGTGAACTTCGAGATCGCAGTCACCAATCGGGTTAAAATATTTACGATCATATCTTCCAATATTCGTGGACAGCTCAAAGTTCATCCATATGGGATAAAACCTTCCCGCTTTATGAGGGGCCCCCAATTTTCCCTCCTGATTTACGAGGGTATCTATTTCGCCCTTGTCTCAAGTCTGTAAATCTATCACTCTTGCAGACATTGGATATGGTCTTCGCAAATTAATATGCCTATTTTTGTTCTTCTGTACTTCTGTCTGCTGTTGGCCTTTTCGTTTGCTGCCACGCATGAAGAGAAGATGGGTGTTTGTGTATGGAAAATATGTTTCGTTGATTCATTGAG